CCGAATGGAGGGTCATAGGTCCCCTCCTTGCCATCGGATGCGGGCACCCATTAGGAAAATAGGCGGTAATTAGTTTTAAAGAAAAGAAAGCGCAGACCGGTATCCAGTTATGGGACCACTGCCTGGAGGTCGCAATTATTATCATGGCAGGATTAAACGACAGGGGCAAGATGTGAAAGGTCTGAGTGTGCAGTGACTAACGATGTTTAGTTTATCGCTCCACTCTTTTCCTTTATTTTAACTTTAATTTAATTTATTTTATTATTCCCAAGATTCACGGGATATTGATAAGCCAAAACTAAGGCTATCTTGAACTCTCCGCTCAGAGCATGGGGATCGCAGTGTAGTAAAAGCCTATAAAAGAGGGGAAAACTAGGCTACTGGGAGACTCTTAGTCTGAGGGTACTTGCGAACTAGCTCGCTGCATTGGAGCCGCTAGTCAGGGGCCAAAGGCCGCAGTAGTGGAGACAGGCGTTAAGTCATCCGAAGTGCGTACTCCTGGGGTCGGAACTCTGGCTATTCAAGACGCGGCTATGGCTTTGCATGGGTACAGACCTTGCTACTGGTACCACCAGATTCGGTGGAAACCCATGTTCGAGGAGGGGCCTTGGATCACGACTATACTTAACTACGACGGGGGAGACGAAATGAGACTGAGGATTAACGTGGAAGGAGGAAAAGAGGTGGAGATGCGGACTGATGGGAAGTTACAAGACGCTATCACTGAGACGAAAGATCGTGTGGAGAGGCGTTGCCGGAGGGACGTCGTGACGACAAAAATGCAGGTAACGGTCTCGTATCATGAGACCGAGACCTCCATCGACACAGCGGACCTGCAACAAGCCCACGTGGACAGGGACTCAGGTGGGGAGAGCGAAAGAAGTGAAGCAGGGGATCGGGAAACGGACCTCAGATCCTGGAATACACCAGGCGAGATCCAGAAGCACCACCGGGCGGTGAAGCCAGTGGAAGAGGGACCCGAGGCCAACTCTCGACAGCTGACGCCCAGAGGCCGTGGAACGAGTGAGAAGTAGAGCAGAGGGAAGAGGCATGTGTGAGAGGGCACGCGAGAGGGAGAGAGAGAGGGAGGTTGCGCGAATGAGCGTGTCGCGACCTTGCTAGATACGATTGATGTCAACTGATGCTTCCACGCTCATGTGCAGCGTCTAGTGTCTACTGAGCGCTGCAGGTCTTCAAGGGGTCAATTTTTCGAGACGCGATAGCTGGCTCTTGAGGCGGATACACGTGGGCAGAGAAGGTCAACGAGAGAGAGAAAAGGCGCGCGAAAAAGCAACGCATGTGCGGGTGGGAGAAGCTGACGTCAACCGATGTGCGCACGCTCACTGATGTCCTGCTCCCACTGCAGTGATGGAAAAGACAAGAGAAAGGTCCCGCCAGAAATGGCAGGGGTAGTGGTCATTAAGAGAGAGGGTACTTGTGTGAGGCATAGCAAGGGTCACCATGAGATCTGCTAGCCGCGCGCTAACTATGACTCCTCCAGCGTTTTGAGCACAGATCGACCGTTCTTCGTGTCTGTGAATGACTGTAGTCGCTTGCTGGCCAGTGTGTGGTTGGTGAAAGGCCGAGTCGGTTCCAGTACGGGTAATCGTATCAGTAGTCTACCAGAAGCTGACATCATCGTCTCGTCTTTATCTGGCTTTTACCCCCCCCTCTCCTCTCGTCAGATGATCGGCATAACCTGTGAGCGTGTTTTCTCCTCGTGCAAACTGGCGAGGCGTGTTGTGAAAGGCTCACGACCAATCCAATGCGTAAAAGACAGATATTAGTCTAAGTGACGCTGGCCGCGTTTAGAACAGGCTAGTATGAAGGGGGAGAATAGTAGCCGCAAAGTCAAAGGGGAGAGGGTTGATTGCTTCTTGAAGATGATATCACTTACCTGATAGACGCGCTTGTTACTGTGTCCTCGAGTCTTGTCGCCTGTGCATGATGTTCAACCTGTTGATATACGCGAACCTATTGATCGAGCTAGTTAGTAGAAGGCGGTCAGCTATCACAGAGCTTTTGTCTTAGTGCTAGTAGGACGTTAACCACTTCGGTCTGGCTTCTTTATGCACGAGCAGGAGAGGACGCGTGAGGGCCTAAGATGGAGGATCAAGAAAGACGTATGAGGAAGAAGGACATTTCGCCGCTAGCTGCTGACACTGAGGCGGTTAACTGATGTCATTATCACGGGTCTTCGGAGCATACCTTTACCAACGCCTCGGATGAATCCCCAGATAAGATGGTGGTTATTATGAATAGTTTTCTTTTCTTTTAAAGTTAATTTAGTTTAAATTTTCTTTTAAACAGGATAATTGGTTTGGTTAATTGGCGCTGACTGGTTTGGTTGTGACATGAAAGGGGTTGGCCCCCGCTGTAGGCTGCATAAACGGGTATTCAGTGGCCGCACCTTGTAACTGCGACTAAAGGCCAACTGGCCTCAGAGAAAGTCCTACATACGAGTGGCTGATCTATATGATTGTAAGATTGAGGGAGCAGGGTTTTCCGCAAATAGATACAACTTCACGTTCTACTCCTTGGAAGTACTATTCGTGCTGAGTTGCTTACTTGATTGCTAGTCAATTCTAAAGAGTTGCACTTTTCTTGTGCTATATGCCTCATAACGAATCTCGTAGAACAACTGATTTATTTTGGTCTACCCCTCTTTTCGTGAACACACGAGCGCTCGAATGTGTTTGTGTACATGTGTACATCTTATCAAACGCCTGTTAGTGAATCATAAGAATTCTTTTGTGGCCTGTGTTTAGTTGAGCACGAGTTTACGTGAATATGCATGTACCCGTGTGAACTGATGAATGCTTAACAGTGTGTGTTTGCAAGTCTGAGGGCACCGCATGCATGCGGTTGTTCGAGTATCCTAGTCCATTATTGGACTCAATGCACGAGACCGCCTGCACGAGAAAACTCAGTGGCAATCTTGGTTATGTTTAGTGGTTATGTCCCTCCTGAATGGACGGGGAAGAAAAGGGCAGTGCTGAGGAAAATGTTTTACATTCTTGTTAAGTTTTTACTTGATGGGGATTGACTGTCTACTCATTCAGTTTTAGAGTGTCTCGGCTCAGAAAAGAGTGATTTGATCTTTGCATCATGGTTGGCTGAATCTCAACCATGTCGAGTGGGTTCTCGCTGAG